GAGCCCGACGCGGGGCTCGAACTCGCGGACTGCGAGATCGTGACCTGGCTGAAGTCTGACGCTTAACCGACTGCGCCACCCAGGCGCCCCCAACCTCTTTTTTTTTTTTTTTCCTTCCCCTCCTCCATGGGTTTCTGTTAAGTTTCTCAGGATCCACATAAGAGTGAAAACACTCAATAGCTTTTGACTATTAATTATAACTTCAGGCCCTTATTTGAAGGAACAAGACTTTGCCATGCAATTCACCTTTTCGCACCCTGGGGCAGAGTATGTATTGTGTGAAAGAGGTTGAGGAGGGACTTTGTGAGGAGTGACTAATGCCCGGAAGCCGTTTCACGACAGGCACAGGAGTTTGAGGTTGGGAGGTGGGTACTGGGAGGTAGGTAAGTACAGGGGGCTTATCTTGATGCTAGTAAAAGACTGGTCTGCGCGCTAACAAATTAACATTACATTCTCACTAGTTAGCCAAAGGCGACTGCCGCCAGAGGGCGCAAGGCGCGCCGGCAGGATCCCAGGTAGCCCTCCGAGGTCGCGGTGGGGGCGTGCGTGGCCCAGAGTCCTGAGCGCGCGCCGGGGGTGGTCGCGGGGCACGAGCCGGTCCGCCCCCTCCCCACGCGGGGCGCGCGTGCGCCGTTCCGCTGCGGCCCAAGGAGCCGCGATGGAGGGCGCTCTGACTGTTCGCCAGGTAAGCGGCTCTTCGCTGGGGCGGCTTCCCAAGCGGTGGCTGCACCCGGCAGTTTTCTTCACGATAGTTGTTTGAACCTTCTCAGATTATGATAATTAATTCCTCCCTTCCGTTTTCTCCGTGCTCTTTGGAGTAATTTGGAAAGTTGTTACCAAGGAAACGGTTTCGTGTGCTTCCTGCGAGCCTTCCCCTCGGGGCGATGGTGGAAAGTCGGCTTCTCTGTGGGCGTGGAGAGCAGGAATTTGGTCCCGAAATGTCCTAGTCCAGATGTCTCAGCCTCAGGCCCCACCGACTCACGTTCCGTTGTCGTGATTCTGACCCGACATCACGTTGATCCAGTCTCACCCGCCTCCCTAAACTATCAGCTCTTGAATGAAGGGCTCAGGACTCTAGCGTAAATAACTGTGCTGTCAACCAAGCTTTTGGTTCCAACTAGTTTTGTTCTTGGCTCACTGTCTTATTTGATAAACGGAAGATCTTGCTGATTAACCTTCAGGGTGAAAGCCTACTTTTGTTCCAGGGCTACCTGCATTTATGAACACTCCGCTCATTTCTTTTACGTTGGTTGGGTGTATATATTTTAGAGAATTGCAGTCAGTGCGATACCTTTTATTTGACTAGCGTTTTACAGGTTACAAAATGGTAGACATTCGAATAATTGTTGAATGAACAAGTGAATGTACGATTTCAACTGAGCCTCAGAAACATTACTTATGAAATAGTCATGATACATATTAATGAACCCAATCAGTTATTTTATTCTCTGTCCCTGGCACTGGTGTTGGGATAAGATGGTGAGCAACAGACACATGATTCCTGTTCTCAATGAGTTTATAGTTTAGACTACCGAGAGTTATTACCCCTACTGTAGAGTGGAGAAAACAGATTTAGAGAAATTGACTGGCAAAGACCACACAACTAATAAGTTAGAGAGATAGGATTCTGTTGTAGCCACTCTACAAAGTCAGAATGAACCCCTACCCTTTCAATTTGATTTGGATGTAGAATTATGCCACACATGCACCATGAATATATGAGAAGGCTTATTACTTATATATACAATGGCTTATTAAATACGTAATGAAAAAGTAGAAGTAGGTCAGGCTTCTCAAGCAGATCCTAAATGATTTAAAAGACAAGGAAAGGAAGTTTAATCCAGGTTTTTACCCTGGTGGGGTCCGGGTAAGGGTTCCTGTGTGTGGACTGGGGCTTGCTTGGTTTGACTCTCTCACCCACACCAAAGGTGAGAGCACCCAGACTTTCTCACCCACTTGCCCATATGGGGGAAAGAAGAGGAAAAAGGATGGGTGAGGCTTAAAATCTGTCAGCAGGCAACCATTAAAAAATTGAATGAGACTCCTTATCACAGTTCACCCAGATGTTGGGTTAATGACTGAAATGTACCATTTTTCATTTAGTTGAATTTGAATTAGTGTAGGTAAGCCATCATGGCTGTCTACTAGGTCTCCAGTCTGTGCCCAGTAAAGAAAATGAAAGTTCCCTGGAATGCCTTGTTCAAGAGCACAACAGTGTGTTTGAGAAATAAAATGAGTGCCTTGGTCTCTATTAGTAATCTTCTGGAACTCTAACAGGCATAAGGAGTATCTTGGTGAGGCCTTTTATTATGGGTTTAGTATATGTAGAGACACCAGTGATCTTTTTTTGAAAAAAAATTTATTTATTTATTTATTTATTTAGAGAAAGAACGTACACGTGAGCAGGGGAGGGGCAGAGAGAGAGGGAGAGAATCCCAAGCAGCTTCTATGCTGTCAGTGCAGAACCCAGTTTTGGGCTCCATCTCACAAACTGTGAGATCATGACCTGAATAGAAATCAAGAGTTGGACCCTTAACTGACTGAGCCACCCAGGTGCCCCAAGACATGGTGATCTTGATTTGTATTATGAGTATCTGTGAAACAAGAGATTTCTAGAGTGCTTTATCCCAACGGGTGCAGCTCTGAGGCAGTGCCCCAAGAGTCTGTAAAAATGTGCAGATGGAGCCAACTGTTGGCCAGAGCATCCAGTGTTAAGATGACTATGGGAAGTTCAGCCAGTTGTGCTGACCCTTGGGTCCTTACCTTTATCAGGGACATCTTGGTTAAGGGATGAAAAGCAGTAGATATCCAGAGAGCTCCATCATGTGTAATGGTGGTGATGCTGTTCACTGACAGTAGGTTTGTCTGTCAAACTTTAAATGGGAATTTAGAGTGTACAGACTCCAACTGCTGTTCACTCATTTGAACCCAAGTCACTCTTCAGGTTAACAAGGGGTTCAGAAGAGTGATGGCCTTTTCTAGCACCATGACATCTGACAAAAGAATGAGGACAGGGGAGGGCATGCCCTCTTGCGGGTAAGATATGCCAGGGGGCTCAGATTTGGTTTTATCCCATAGCAAGGAGGCCTTGGTAGTTGTGCTGAGCTTGCAAGGTGTTGCTTCTAAGACCTAAGAAGGTCTGAGAATGGAGGGTCACAGGCTCAGGGTTTGTAGAGCCTCTATTTCCAGAAGAGTCCAGTATGCTGTCAGTGACTGCTGCTCTAATGGTGTGTAACGTGGGGCCTGGGAGATAGTTTCTTGCATTAGAAGCCTGTAGACAACTTCTAGACACCATGGGTGGTTGAGAGACTCCAAGAGTCATGGAAAGAAGCTGCTAAAGTCTCTGTAATGAAGAGTTCTGTGTGTGTGTGTGTGTGTGTGTGTGTGTGTGTGTGTGTTTGGGGGAGAGGGGAATAGTACTAATGGAAGTGTCTCTTATGATTTTGACAAATATTAGAGTCTTTTTGGGAAGGATCCTCATTCAGCATGACTGATTTGCAAGTAATAGTGTAAACAGACTTAAGTAAAATTTGTAAATGAGGAATATATTGCTCTAGATGCCCAAAATGCCTAATAAATGTTGGGCTTATTTTAGTGTTATGGGTGCTAAGATGGTCAATAGTAATTTCTTGACATTGTCAGGGATGGAGTGACCCTTGGTGTACCAAATGGTTTTCAGGAATTTAAGGTGGCAGGCCTTAATGCTGTGTTTGGGGTAATGGCCCATCCCCTTTTCGTGAGCTCTTTTGTGCATATTTGAATGGGTATGTCAAAAGAATGTCTTCAGAGGAGGATGTAAGCAATGTAATGTCATACCTATGCTCCTGGAGCAAAATAATTACAATTACAATATTGCCTGTAAAAGTTGCATGTAAGGGCAAGCCTTTGAGGTATGCTGTGCCTAGCTATGTAAAGGTATATTGTGTCCCACTAGAGATGAAGGCAAAATGTGACTGAGAGCTTGTTGAAAGAGACACTGAACAGAATATTAGCCAAATTTATTATAGCATATATATATGTT